GGATATGGCCGCCGCTTCAAGTTTTGAAAACGAGGCCCAATCTAATATTCTCCAAAATAACCGTCATATGAGCCGGTGGCTCCCGGGCTGGCTACTAAATACGAATACTATGGCACTAAGCATGGATTGAAGGCCTACAGTGCATGTACACGTAACGGTACGTACCTTTTCACCACCAACATCTTCTCGCGAAAAATGGAATACTTCTTCCTGAGGTGTAGATTTGGTGTTACTTTGAATATCTTCTAGTAACTTTTCTATCCTTTCTAAGCGACCACAAACTTCATCTATGCGCTCTGTTTGATCCATAACGCCATTTACCTACTCAAATAAGATGCGAGTGTTTGTTTCTATGCGCCATGTTTGGTATCGGAAGTAAGAAAGCTGGTAATGCGCATGCTCTGTAAAATTAAGGGCATTCTCTTCTTTCTGAACACTGGGGTCGCTAGTAGTCTGTCACAAAATTATTGTATCGGCCTCTTCTTCAATTTTGCAACCCTCTTTGATTTCAGAGATTAGTTTTGGAGAGTTATATTGATTTGATACACACTGTATTAGTCTGGATATACTCTTTTGAGGTGTCTGTCTGTCGCCGTCAACATATAGGCTACAATTAAGTAATTAGGCCCTATTTGTTTTACTTTGAGTGGCTTTGTATTTTAATACAGTCAGGTTCCTCTTGAAAACCAGCATGTTTGGAATATTTCTTACAAGCTATATTGATATACAGGTATATTCATTACAATATTTTAATATAACTTCAAATTTGTACAATGGTTTAAAACTTTTGTTTAGGAAAAAAGCAGGTTCCTTTCGAAAGTCAGCAAGATCAGAATATTTTTAATTTTTTTCTTTTTTAGTCTAGAAATTATTGCAAAATTTTTTGGTTGTTGGTGTTTGTATATCTTATTTGCCAGCTTCGCTCTCAAGTTCTCTTGATCTTTATCATTTCCCCTTGTTTGGTTATTATCCTATGTGTGTGTGCGTGTGTGGTGGTGGTGGTTAAAAAAATACACATTTCATTTTTGTATACTTTTTATCGAAAGATTTGATGAAATTCGACATTTTTAGAGTAGGCCTAAGGAAAACTGGTACAGTAGGCTGGTTAATTTTAGCGTTTAAGGGAGTATTCCCAGACATTTAGATCGATCTATCAACGTGGGGAGTCTCACTAGCTTACTGTCAGATAATCCGGCTTAAATGTCCGTCCCGCCTACTACAAGCTGTAAGGGGGTAATTAACTTTCGTGCCCGCTCGGCTGACAGCTATTTAGCTTGAACCCCCAGGGAGTAAGATCGATCTAGTTTGGATCGATCTAATCTCTGGGAATGGGTTCTAAGACCCTATATACCGGTACATGGGGCTTTAGGTTTAGTTACAACCATTGCTAAAAGATCGCGCAGCAATCGTCTTCACCTGTTGTTCGATTCAAAAGGCTTTAAGAAGCACGGGCAGTTATTTTGGGTTAGAGTTCCACATAAATATATACTCAACATCAGATTTGAAAATGTGTGTGAATGGTGACGGAAATCCAGAGCTTTATTCGGTCATGACAGATGGGAAAGACCGCGTCACGTTACCCGGTGACAACTAGTACTCCCTTTACTTAGGACCTCTCCCCCCCCCCCAAACAAACAAACAAACAAACAAACAAACAAACAAACAAAAAAAAATAAATAAATAAATAAAAGTATGATCAGCAAAATGAGGCAAAACCTAACTCTTTTTTCCTCTTCTGTGCCCTACATATAACAGAAAATAGTCTACAGTTTAATATTTGCCTCACTTCGCTGGTAGAAATCTATTTACCCTGGCGTTCCCTTCATGCACGCTACATGTAAGTAAAATCCTTGATCTGTCAATGTATTACGCATCATAGGGAAAAAAATACCAACATGTGACCAAGGGGCTCTTATGCTCACATAGTCCCTAAGATACATGTACGGCTCGTAAGAAAATGTGTAAAAAGTGGTAAAGAAGTGCTAATATCTATTATTTCGGAGTTCCCCAGAGTGATTTCCTCGGAAAGCGTCCCACAGAGCGAGTCCCTATGAAAGTCCGTTTACGTTGTTTACGTGGGTTTTAAAAAATGTTTTTTGCCTGGGGCCTCTCAGACCGTCTTGTCAGATGGTCATGAAAGAACGTTGCAGACCGTAGTCTTTTTCATGTTTTCATTACTGAGCTATTCTCTTTTTTTTTTTCTCTAAAATCAAACCCCAACTCTAAGACAACATTTTCATATCTCGTCATTTGAAAAAAGAGTAATTCAACTTACTGAACATTAAACATTTTGGTTTCTACTTCATCCAAAAAATTGATATAAAGATTATTAGTACAATATTTAGTAGAAATAGCTTAACCGGCATTTATCAGTTGAGCGTGCGGTGTACGATGGCTTGGACGCTTGATGAAGCAAGTAGTCAGCAGTCTCATTCTGCTCTTTTGCAGTACGGTCAAGTCACGGAATGCTCGAGTCATGCCACTCACGGTTTATTAAGATCGGTCTCCGTTGAACGAGCCATGTAAGCTATCTATTTTTTTATATCGAAGCAAAGCTGCGTTTCTCATTACAATTTGGACATAGATTCGGCGAAGATGTAAACTGCAAAGGAGGTCTAGAAAGTAATACTATTTGATATTTACTGGGGTTGCGGAATAAAATACATGTAAAAATGACGTTCTACATCCATGAACTACATGTTATTCTACGGCCTGTACATAGTCTTTAAGTATACGATTAATAAAATGAAAGCACCTAGTGGCCCCTAACTTTCGATTAAGAGGTGTCCTCAAATTGCCCCTTTTTCGTCGAGCCGGCCAGCAGCACTATCAATCTTATCCTTTTATTTGTAATTGAAAATTGTGGTTTTGCTCTGAATGGCCTGACCTCTAAAATGTGTCAACCACATATAGAAAAATCGAAAGTGCAGCGGACCAAATTGTTATCACGGTTAAACAGCTGATACATTTTCATAGTTCATTACAGATAAGATTTATTGTAAAATGATTTAAGAAAAATATGCTTTCCGATATATTTCCAATGGGGCACGAAACCCTCACTGAATTTTCACATATACAAGCAAACACATAGATGGACCTCCGTATTTCACAGAACACAGTTTGAAGGCAATGGATTCGAAACAAAGACAAACGACATTGAAATTTATGGATATTTGAGAAAAATACTTGCATCTTTCCACCATAATGCATCAAAACGAAGTGTTTCACTTGAGTCTACTACTTGACCATATCACAAATATACAAAGGAACAATTTGATGTTAAGTCCTTTCAACGGAATGCATTATTTTAGTGTATCGAGTGACTTTGCAATGAATTGAATTTCTCTGAACTCAATGCCGAATTTTTTATACATTTTCAGTAAAAATAAAAAATAAATAAAAAAGACGATTTTTGATGAGTGAGTGATTATCAGATAAGGAGATAAATCATATAAAATTTAAGATTGCTTAACGAAGTGCTACACATGTATCATCATGTATTATGCAAAGACATTTTTACGTTTCGCCAGAGTCTCCATTCGTTTCCAGATTCGGAGAAGCTTGAATATATTCAAGAAACCATCCATGAAAAGCTAAAGCCAAATATTGGGTTTAGTATCCTCGATAACCAAGGCCAACTTTACAACACACACGCACTCACGCTCGCACGCACGCACACAATATATTAAAGGAGTATTAAATGAATCAAAACATTTCAGCCTAATAAAAACGTTTGCAAGGACACAAGGATTACCGAACCATGTATCCGTTCGTTCAAGCATCCATTGTGACTGAAATCAAAACGAAATCGGACATTTCATCTATCCCGGTGTTAAAAGGAATGCAAGTCCTAGGAATGGAAGTCCAGGCTCCCGTGTGATTAGTGTATTAGGGTTAGTTGGAGTATTGGAGTTAGAACATGGGACGAATGTCACCTGTACAAAGTAATGGGAAGCGGACTACGGTTCCCAGCGGACTTGCATTCCTGTTACACCAATGGCCTCTTCATTAGTCAGATTAGTCTAGGTCCATGCAGTCCTTGCCTACATGTACATAGAACTGGTGAATTCTGCAGCATCTGTGAAAGAATCGATAGACTACTCATGGAACAGGGTAGTGCTGTTTCATTTAGTTCAGGGCGGAAATTCCAATGAGCAGTTAAGTATTATATGATTGATAACGCGACGTGATTCCATATTCAGCCCGCGTGATTATAAAGACAGATTGACGGCCATTTCTGATCGCATTACACACCTGTATACTTTTTAATGCCAACATGAAAGAAACATCGGCGATGGGAAGCGCTCCCCACCTGGTGGAAGGGGGTCATTTACATGTTGTTTTGTGCGAAAACCCGGTATCACGTTGTAACTTAACGCGCACACCGGACATGCACCCCGACAAATGAACTAGTCTTCCTGCTACTTACTGAAATTATGCATGTGCATGTGTCATGCGTTCATATTTGCACCGACTTTGCGTCTACACTTGATATCTGAATTAAATACAGCTCTATGATAAACGACCTTACATATGCTGGCGATTCAATTTAGTGGGTAATACTCGTGTTATGATTCCTCTCGTCACCTTGCATTTCTGGGGTCAGAGGGCTGGTTACAACATTTTTGAGGGACAAGCTTGATGGCATTTTTTTAAAAAAATAAACATCATAATTAAGACGATAACGTCAAGTTAATCTTGATTTCTGTCTTATATATAACTAAAGAAATGTCAGATGCCCGTCTTTATCGTTCACTATCGCAGTGCCTCATGTGTTGAGTCACTTTCTGTAACATTAACGCAGATTTTGGTTCCACCCAATTCCTTGTTAGATGAGCCATTTCCGATAGGAAAACCGATTTCTTCTGAATATTTTATTGCAGGATCGTCTATCTCCGTGCAGTTTTGATGCAGCAATAAAAAACCGCGTGTTCATAAAAATTGTGATGGTTCGGTCACGTGACACCTTGGAATGAAGATTTGCGGGGAACATAATCGGGTGAGCCAGTGTTTGCATACGGGTCGTGGCTACACATTAGGAAAACTTAGCTACTGCGGTTGAATCAAGAAACGTTAAATAACAAGATGAGCGGCCTCATTAAATGCGCCATTATCCGTTGTTTACAAACTTCGGACAGCGTGAAGTAAAAAGGCATTGACTTATCAAGTCGGGACCCTTTTTCTCTTGAGCAGAGAAAAGAGCAGGTGGAAATTTTTCGAAAATCTAAGAACATATAAGTATGCCGAAACGACATATTTGTAGGCAATTTACAGCGAAGGGATAATCTCAAATTATCCATCGATGTTGCAGGCAGGATTCAGAAAACATCAATAAAACTTGGCAAAGTAAGCTAAAAAACAATCGACGATCAACATTTCAACGGAAATACTTTATTACACTGAATCGACTGACAAGGACAGAGACGGTGAGTAGAAATTGTTCAACAGTATTATATCGAGTAGAAAAATTCTTGTGCTGCTAATGATTTTCTCATGACGATATTAGGTGCTAATTGCTGCCAATGAAAAATCCAGCTTGAGATTTATAGTGTTATAAGGATGCATAAATGTTGTAGAATGGCTGGTCTATCTTCCATATCTTTCTACAGGGAGCCATGTAAACGGTGGATGGCTTATACGTGTGAGATGGTAATTGTTTATAATCTGCAAGATGATGAATTGTAACGTTCAGCATACACTTCCTGATGGCTGGTATGTTTTAGAGTAAACGTATCGAGGTTGATACACGTTCTCCAATTATCACTCATCATAAAAAACGGTATTTTCGCCAGACATCATGGGGTTTTGCCTGCCTTCCTGCGGATACATAGATTAGGAACATTATAACTTATGTGCAGTTACGCGAATGTTACTATATAATGCCAGAAGCCGATAATATTCAAAGTCAGAGCAGTTTAAGCAACGAAGATGAATGCAGCTGTCCCTATAAGCCTCCAGAGTACAAGGGGATACGGGATTTAACATAAAACCGTTTGGTGTGCAATTGCGTCCCGCTTTTACCGAATTCGCCATGCTGAACAAACTGGTGTGCGTTAACTTTTTAATCTACTCTGTACTGTATATACTTTTGCTGTAGTTGTTTGGACCACGGTCAGAAATTTCGTAAAGACGACCAATATATTCACACGACGGTCTTTTCTTCTCCAGACATCCCTTCCGTGATTGCGACATATATTTTAATGTGCATTCAGCAATTAGTGGTATTTTTTTTTTTTTGCACCAAGAGGGGTAAAGCGCTTCACCTGGGCTGAATCTACGAAGTAAATGGCAGATTGAATTAAATGTACAGAAACGAGTGATCGGCTGTGCTAGATAAGGACATGAGAACATTTAGTATTAGCTACTGGGTGAACATCGGTACCAATCTTATTTCATTTCGTTTAACGTGGTCTTCACAGTCTTTAGACGAAAGCCATGGGTATAGTTGAGACAGGAATAAGTTTCATAACAAGACGGCCTGGACTGGCTCTGGTCAGTTTAAAGAGATTTATGTGTATAAAAAGTCTGACAGTTATCATGTAGACGGTGTAGAACAGAGCTTGCCTGACTATCTGTTTACACGCCGTGCCGCATTTCGCCCGCTTCGCCCTGTAAACAGTTTTCTCTGTGGGTGTATGTTAACATATTTGCACCAGGAATGGATCTCTGACAGTTCAAAATTGATCGCTGACCATCAAAATTCTCCACGATTTCATAAATCACCGATTATTAAACTCAAAAGCAACCTGGCTATCTTAGATGTGGAACGCAATGAATTGGTAGGCGGCCGTTTTTTAATTGAATGTTGTAGCGCACGCATTTGTTCTCGGGCCACATCGCTAAACTTGAACACCGTGGGCACATACGAATGGCATCATTTACTAACACCTTCTCCGTTACATAAAAAAGAATCTGTCTGATTTTAACTTAATTACAGCAGGTGCAGTTTTCTCTCTTAAAATAAGGTCTCCTCTTTCTAAGAGACCTACTTACATACGGCCGCAGTAGAAATATTCAGGTTATAATTAGAAGGCTATCATAGTTTCTTTCATTGCCTTTTAATTGTTTTTTATTGTCAAGTCGGTATTAGTGTTGAAAGGGGTGGGTTTGAGTTTTCTGGCTATTATGGGGGGTTAATTCGTAGTAATGCTATAAAACTGAACGTGCAAGGAAAACCTGAGAGGACTAGTGCCTTTGACAAGAGAGACATAATATCATGCTTTGCTTAATCAACAGCCCCCACTAGGAACACCATTAGCAAATGAGCGCGACCTCCTCATGTCTTACCTGTACATTCAACACGTTCTGACATAGCTGTTATGTGAAGTAGATCCGCTATTTTCGTACCTGTTAACGAATATAGAGCATCATAATCTACAGTGTTCTCATCAAAATAAATAAATAAATAAATAAAGAGTATAAGTTGGTGTGCAGGAAACAAGTTCTCAAACCCGACCCACATAGAATGTCGCCAGCTCATTTTTCCTAAAACAATTTTCTAATATATTTTCCTAAAATAATGATCGTTTCCCTTGGTTTTCATGGGATACAGTTTTTGAACTATAGGCAATAGGAATACAGTCAATATCTATGCATTTAGAAATAATATAGGGCCTACTGTATACTAGCTGATGGTAACTATGTACGAGGTTAATATCCCAACAGGCATTATGGCGTAAAAACCTTACAATTGTTGTGGATACAGTAGCCTGTATATAATCTCAGGGAAAACCCGGTGCGACCAATAATTTGTAATAAAGCTGTCTTTCTTCCACGATAGATGAGGGTAGCATGCCCAGTAAAAGCAGCCTGATGCATAAAACAGTCACCGATCCGCACTTATCTTTTCGAGTTCGTTTTTATGTCGCAATTAAAGACTCGAGACTTAAAGGCGTGGAGCTAGCCCAGATCTAAGGTTACTTGTTCAATGTCGCCTTTATGGTCAAGGTTTATTAAGACGAAGTTTGTGTTCTGGTCGTTATGCACGTTTTACAAACTGATTGTCAATGATAAATAAATAAATAAATAAAAAATGAGCATACATGCATGGTGGACTGATGTGAATGAATAAAACATTGTAAGATATAGGTTAATACGATAGTTTATATATATATATATTAGACATACACGTACACAATGCAATAACCTAGAGAGAGCACACGCTGCAGTAAAACTTTCGTCCTTAAGTTTAATCTCTTGTCTCCCCGTCTTTTAGTGTCGGAGTGACTATTTATGCTGAACTTTTGGGTCAGGTCACCATCTTTGATATTCGATCCGTATAGGATACTTAGCTGTAATCATAACTTTTACTGGGCTCATGGTCATACACTATAAAATGTGCACGTTAATAAGATAATATTTTCATTTGGAATTAAGAAATAATAAACTAAATACTCGTCTGTTATTATTACAGAGCTAGATGGTCACCTTAAAATTTTTAGATGGAGTAGCATTGCCAGACATTGGATTTCTATGTAATTTCGACTTGCTTTGCCGGTGGAAAGATGAAAGAAGAGGCCTCATCACTTCGAATTCCCTATGTAATTTTCTGAGACAACGATGACATTTAGACGCGGAACTAAATTCAGCCTTACATCATTTTAATGATAAACCAAGGACAAGGAAGCGATACATTTATTGCCTGTTTGCCTGATTTCTCTCCAACGGTCTTAGTTGATGTTATTTATAAACAGGGCTGAACAGGGAAATGTAACACCGTAATTTCGAAGATTTTTGGTAGTCAAATTGTTTTGCGAAAGTGTGCCGCAGAAATGAGAGAGAGAAAGAGAGAGGGGAGGGGTAGGCGCACATTAATGAGAACAATGCAGTAGTAATTGCAAATGCTTGATCACCTTTCTATGTACAGACATTACATGTCTTGCACATGCACTCTCTCTTCGCAGACGTTTATCTACAGTTGATTTTTTTCGCAAATAATAAATAACAAAAGAACACTGCTTTCATCGCGTGTCTGATGCACCTGCATATTAATACAAAGCCCGTGACAAAATTTTTTGTCTTACCCCTAAGCCCTCAATATCTCGTGCTGTACTAATTTGGGATAGAGGGCGCTTTGTTTCAATCTGAACTGAATTGCAAGTATAAATCATAGCCTGTGGTCAGCTGGGGTTGTCTGCCAAACAATTTGTTACATATTGACAAAAATACCCACAGGAAATGTATTAATTATATTCCGGTTTGTTTGATTAGGCTGACATACTTGGTAAGAGCCATTTCAACAGATTAAAAACTCCAGCTACATGTACTTTCAGACGGATCAATGAGAGACTCCTGCATTGTTCAACTTGTTCCACCAAGTTACGTATTTTAAATCTTCTAACCCAGAAATGTGTGTGTGATGTAGACGACTTTTTGTAATACAGGGGTATTTTCTAACATAAAAGCTACGACTGAAAGTACCTTCAAAATATGGTCAAAGACACAAAAATAAGATTTGTTTTTTCATCCCTATTTGAGACGGATTGTTTCTAAAACTTGGTTAAACTTATTTAGACTGGTTTGAATTTTGTATTGATTGAAAAATAAATTTGGCCTGCCACATTATGAGTTCAGTGCGCATGTTTTAGACAGCCCATAAGGATTTCATTTATAGCGAAATTTACGATTCAGTTCTACTTCAGCGACAGTCCTGAAAACTGTTGCTTTTAACATGGCTATGTCAATATTTATTAGTCAAACACTCATCTGCAATGCATGTTCAAGTATTACCTGCCCATTTTCATAAATTCGAATATTGGCTCTTACTTTAACATAGGCAATTTCAGTCTAATACGATCCGGGATAAATATGTGGTAGTTCCCTAAAACAAATTAAATATACGACAAATTAACTAATTAATCAATTAACTAATCAGCATAAATCGTTTTTGGTCTTATTGTTAAAAATATCAAGAAATGTGACAGCACCAGAAAGTTCAATTGCTGCATAAAAATAAAAAAAAATGTTTTTCGTGAAATCAGACTATTTGCTTGAAACTTAATGAGCAAAGAATATACTAATGTACACCAACATTGTTTTCCTTGTCACAGTTTGTGAAGTTTACTGTCTGTTGAGTCTTCAATATCTGTAGGGCGAAACAGAAAAAGAAAAGCCATGATACTAACTAAAATATTTTAACAGTTAATTAAACTAATTTGTTTTGGAGAACAGATCCCTAGCTTTACACATGCGTGTCGTGTGCCTTTTGGGGGGATAGTATATTCAAATTTGGCGACAAAACTTTTTTCAATTCGTTCATTTCATCCCGCATTACCAGAAACGAATCTTCATGTTATACTTATTGATTTGATATATCGTGATTAAGGCCATAGCCTCGACCTCTTAACGTTACTTATGGTTATGGTCATGCAGGACGACAGTAAACGAATCGTTTCCAGTCGACAAGATGTCTATTAACTCGCCGACC